CCAACATTTTTCAGAATGGTGAGGGAAATCGAAGAGAGCGGCAGATTACAGCCAAACATGAACTCAGCCAATATTAGTCTCTTGTTAAAACCAGGCAAAGACCCAGCATTTCCAACCAGCTATCGCCCAATTTCTCTTATTAATGTTGATCTCAAAATAATTTGTAAAGCCCTGGCAAAAAGATTAGAGAAGGTAACCCCCTTCTTAATACACCCTGACCAAACTGGTTTCATAAAGGGTAGACAGTCGTCCACTAATTCGCGTAGATTACTTAATTTGATAGATTTCTCTTACAGTAGAAACATAGAAACTAGTATATTATCTCTAGATGCAGAAAAGGCTTTTGATAGAGTTAACTGGAAGTTCTTATTTGCAACTTTACATAAATTTGGTTTTGGGAACTTCTTCATAAACTGGCTACAAACATTATACAGTTCGCCAATTGCACGTGTTAGGACGAACGACCAAATATCAGCTAGCTTCTGTCTTCAGAGGGGGACCAGGCAGGGATGCCCACTCTCCCCCTCACTGTTTGCTATCTTTATCGAACCACTAGCAGCAGCAATTAGGCAAACAACAGGTATTAAAGGGATAAAGTGTAATAAAATAGAACATAAGATCAGTCTTTATGCAGATGATGTTTTACTCTTCCTCCAGAATTCTCAATCGTCTCTGTCTCATTCAATAGAACTGATAAACTCTTTTTCAAAAGTTTCAGATTACTCTATAAACTGGTTAAAATCAACAGTTCTACCAATTAATTTCTCTTTTGTCAATTTACTTAATACTCAACTGGAGTCAGGTAATATCACATACCTGGGAATTAATGTTTCTCCCAAGTTAGCAGATCTAACCAAATTAAACTACATCCCACTTTTAAAGAAAGTGGAGGATGATCTTGCTAGATGGAAATCCTTACCAATATCACTGATGGGAAGAGTTGCTACAATTAAAATGATGGTCTTACCCAGAATAAATTACTTATTTTCAATGATCCCAAACAAACCACCAGCTGACTGGTTTAGATCTCTGGACTCCTCAATTACCAAATTCCTCTGGCAGGATAAACCTCCACGAATTAGCTTAAAAACGCTTCAGAAGAGCAAAGACAGAGGAGGACTGGATCTACCCAACTTTTATTATTATTTTTTAGCCAACAGGGTGCAATATATACCAAGATGGTTGCAAGATAACCCATTAGACGAGTCCTGGTTAGATATAGAACAGACACTTTGCAATACGATAGAGCTTTCAGACTTACCATTTATTAGCTCAAGCGTAAGAAAACATGAAGGCTTCAAAAGTATTAGTATCAGCACTTCTCTGACAGCATGGTGGGAGTATCTTAAAATGACAGAGTCTTCACTAGTACCATGCAGACGCACACCTATCTGGAATAATCCTGATATTTTGCAAAATAATAAAATGATGAACCTTCTGGACTGGAAAAATAAAGGAATCCTATACCTGGAAAACACATATGAAGGATTGGACTTCATCCCATTTAATAGAATAGTCTCCCAATTTGGAATAGAAAAGAATAGCTTTTTAGAATACCACCAAATCAAATCTGTAGTCAAACAAAAATTTAAGCTCAATAAAATAGAATTACAAACCCCGCCAAGGGTTTTAGACTTCTGCAATCTCAAACCCCCTAAACTACTGTCTAAAGTATATAAGACACTGTCCAAAATAGACGATAGAATAGCAATCCCTATTGAAAAATGGGAGGTGGATCTATCAGTCAGCTTTGACCAGAACTTCTGGTCCCAAACTTGTTTAAAAACTTTTAAAATGATCAGACACCCCAATTTACAATTAATTCAGTACAAAGTTCTACACAGAGTACACTATACAGGTCATCGGATGTTCAAGATGGGGTTTGTGTCGTCTGACATCTGTACACACTGCACAAACAACATTCCTGACAATTACGTTCATGCACTGTGGTCCTGTCCACCTGTCCAGGAATTTTGGGGTAGAGTATGTGAAGACCTGTCAAAGTCTCTGAAATGTCATATCCCAATCACCCCCTCTCTTTGTTTACTGGGAAACCTGGATGATGTCCCGATTGAAAAATCTTTGGTTCACGTGGTTCTGACTGCCATATGCATCGCTAAGAAAACTATCCTCTTGAATTGGAAAAATAGAGAAAATCTCTGCATTAACCAGTATAGAAATCTTTTGTTAGATCATATTGCACTTGATTTAGCCTCTGCTTCCACTTCAAATAAATCTCTCTGGGCTCCTTTGATCGGTTCCATCACATAGCGGTGATGGGGGGCCGTTGATGATGTCCTGCGGGATGGTGTGGGTGGGGGGGTGGAGGGTCTGAGTTTGGAGTATCTGGATGTTCCCTGGGGATGGGTTCACTGGGGATGTCTGGCACTGGGGGGCCGTTCCCCCCCTCTGGAGGTGCTTGGGTTGCCTCGGGGGGTGTACTGCTGGCGGTTGTGAGTGGGGCCCCTTGGAGGTCTTGGCGGCGGCCATGGGTCACTGCCTGGCGGCTGCATTGCCCCTGGGTGGGTCTGGGTGGGGGCCTGGGGGCTCGGGGTGTTGGGGTGGCCGGCCCCGTGTGGGGATCTGGGCTGGGCCTTGGGGGTCGGGTCCCTACATGTACGCTGCCGGGAAGAAGGCAGGAATACGCAGAAGTACCTGGCCCGGGTTCTGGGGCGTAGGGCAGGCCCTGGCTCCTCTGTTGTCCCATCACAGGGGAGGGGGAGGTCCAGGAGGGGGAGGACCCAACCTTACCTGGATGTCTTATGTCTTATATATTCTGGAAGTTGTGCAAATGCAGGGATGGGCATAGATATTCTGCTGGGGTGGGGCTGGGTCGGCTCCCTCGGGCTCTGTGGGGCTCTGTGATGCTGCTGCTTTGGGCCCTGGCAGGATGGGCTGGGGTCTCCATGCCCTGGGCGGCGGTATGACAACGGAGGTGCCTATTGGGGTCAGTGGGGGAGCTGGCTCCCTGGAGGGCTAAGCCCTACCAGCCATTCCTCCCCATCTCCGTTTGTTTCTCTCCTCCTGCTCCCTCACATCATCACACAAACATGCACATAGGACCTTGGGGGGTGGACAAGTCGAGGAGTGCGGGTATGGACCCCATTTCCGCATTCCTGTGGCTTCCTGCCCCCCAATTTTATTTGCACCTTATGCACTTCCACCGACGACATTCCACGCAAACATACACTTAGGGCCTTGGGAGTGAGCACATTCAACGGCACTTGGCAGGGGGAGTTCTCAGCCTCCTCCCGAGTGCCGGTGCCCACTTCGAATTTTAAACTGCATTTAGACACCAAGGGCTGTGGGTGCAAGTAGGGTGGTGCAGTGGCATCAGCTGGCATAGGCCAGAAAATGCCCGCACTGCCCGCTCACCACAGCAATAGAATACACCTCATTAACACACAACACTATGTTGGAGCAGGTGGAGGGAGACCAGGGGGTCTTAGCACACCTCTGTTGTTGCTTGGCTGCCTGGGGCTGGAGACTAGGAGGGAGATCTGGCCGTCTGGTTGGGGTCTGGGGTGGTGGGTTGCTGTGCTCGGCGGTGGGCGGGGGAGCCTGCTCATCAGCACCCCAGCAGAAAGGGTCAAACTCTGGTAACCGGTGGTGGTTGTACCCCATGTGCAGCATTACCGGGACCAGAGTGAATAGGGTGTGTATGGGGAGCATGAATGGGTGTCCGGCGTGTATTTTTGTAAGTCTTTGGTTGTATGTGCATGTGTGAGCATGAGGGAGGGAGTGTGTGACTGTGTTTGTGTATGACTGTATATGTCAGGTGGGGCCTTTGACTCCTCCCTTCTCCTGGGACCTCCTTTGATGATATAGATCTTCGTCTCCCCTCCCCCCTGTCACACCTGGTGTGGGTGTGATGCCTTGGTCTGCCTGAGTGTTCGTGGCTCCCGGGTCAGGGAGTTTAAGATTTTTGGCATCTGCCTGATCAATCCCGGTGGCGGCCTGGGAGGGTCTGGGTCCCTGGGCTCTGCTGGGTCCCCGGCGGGGGTGGTCGCCCCTGGGTCCCGGGTCGCTGGGTCCCGGACTCGGCCGGCTAGGGGGTGGGAGGCTGCGGGCAGGCCTGAGGACTTGCCGCTGATATCTCCCGGGGCTCTGCCGGCTGCTGGTTGTGGCCCCCCGGGGCGATCCTCTGTGCCTCTCGAGGGGGGCGGGGGCCTTTCTGGTTGCGGGCTCCTTGGGGTTCCTGTGTTCTGGGGCAGCGCCTGGATCTCTGGGACTTGGGGCTCCCCCCCGTCTCCTACGCGTCTTTGGGGGGCAGATCTGTGGTCCCTCACACTCTCTATTGGACGCTCCTATAGATAAACCTTACATAAACAAGCGCGTGTACACACACAGGTGCTCACATGGTGCTCTCATAAGTATGGGCTTGGGCACGTTCAACACATGTCTTAAGACTATGGTGGGCACTCAATGCACTGTGGTATATTATCGTGTGACTGTTTAGTTAAACAATGATTGATTATATATTTCTTCATCAAGTTGACGCAGTGATAGCTTGATTTTGTTATATTGGTGTTGTGTCCCATTTTTTTGTTATGTTTTGCTTTTTTCTCGTCTCATTTTGCAGGTCTAGAAGCAGACTCTTGTTCATTATTGTTTATTTTTGTTGAATCCCTCCCCCACCTAACCCCCTCTCCCCCCACCTTTTCTCTTTTCCTTTCTCTTTCACCTCTGTCTCCGTGTCTGGTCGAAATTACAAAGCATTCAAAAACAATAACAATAAAGTTTTAAATATCAGGTGCGACATTAAAAGCAGACTCTTTGATGCTCCACCTGAGACATTAAAAGCAGATGCTCTGATGCTCCACCTGAGAGTAAAACTGTAAGGCTTGTTACCAGCATTCAGACATCAATTCTGCTTGCTTCACAGCCAGACAGGACACGTTTAAAAAAAAAAAAAAAAAAAAAAAAAGTGAAACTAGGTTGACGCCATATGACTCAGAGGTGTGAAACAGCTTTTTGCTTTCTCTCTTCATACATGTTATTAAACATGTTGTGTGTGCGTGTGTGTGTGCGTGTGTGTGTGTGTGTGTGTGTGTGTGTGTGTGTGTGTGTGTGTGTGTGTGTGTGTGTGTGTGTGTGTGTGTGTGTGTGTGTGTGTGTGTTTGTGTGTGTGTGCGTGTGTGCGTGTGTGTGTGTGTGTGTAACAGGTCATAAACACTCTGTCCATCCTGTCCCATTCTGCTGTGGCTGTGCAAAAAGGATTTATGCCTTTTCCTTTGGATGGATCTGCTCCTGACGATGAGATCTACAGCGGCCTGTCAGACCAGATAGATGACACTGTGGATGAGGATGACGACTTGTATGATTTTGTGGAGGATGAAGACAATGAAGGCGATGGGATTTATGAAGATTTGATGAAAACAGACGAACAGCCTGAAACTCAACAGAAAACTGGAGTTGACAAGCGAGAATGCTGCCTGCAGGAAATCCGACAGACCGAAGAGAAATACACTGATACACTGGAATCGATCTTAAAGCACTTTATGAAGCCTCTTGAAAGGTATCTCCAGACTCAAGACATTGAAAACATCTTCATCAACGTGAAGGAGTTGGCTAGCACGCACCGTAGTTTGCTGGACGAAGTACGGAATTCCATTTTAATGGAAGGTGCCAAGACTCTACACCAGGTGTTTGTGAATTACAAGGAGAGGCTCTTGCTGTATGGTCATTACTGCAGTCAGGTGGAAGCAGCAACCAAACACCTGGACAAGCTCTCCAGTATGAGGGAGGACGTCAGGATGAAGTTGGAGGAGTGTTCAAACAGAGCAAACAGCGGCCGATTTTCTCTCAGAGATCTACTCATGGTTCCAATGCAGAGAGTCCTCAAATACCACCTGCTGTTACAGGAGCTAATGAAACACACCAATGACCCCACAGACAAAGAGAACCTCCGAACAGCCCTGGATGCCATGAGAGACTTGGCGCAGTGTGTGAATGAAGTGAAACGAGACAACGAGATCATCAAACAAATCACCAGCTTCCAGATGTCAATAGAGAACTTGACTCAGTCTTTGGCTGTCTTTGGTCGGCCGAAGATTGACGGGGAGCTGAAGGTCTGCAGCATGGAGAAGAAGTCTAAACAGGACAGGTACGCGTTCCTTTTTGATAAAGCTGTGATCATTTGTAAAAAGAAGAGCGGAGAGACATTTGACCTCAAAGAGATCATTGAACTAAATCACTACCAGATAAGAGATGAAACCACAGGAGAGAAGGACAATAAAAAGTGGTCATATCTGTTCCTCCTCTTGGATTGCTATGGAAAGTGTGGCTACGATTTCTTCTTCAAAACCAGAGAACTGAAGAAAAAGTGGCTGGAACAGTTTGAGATGGCTTTGTCAAACATGTGTCCTGAGAATGCCAACGCAAACAATCACGACTTCCAGATGTTCTGCTTTGAGGAAACCACGTCCTGCAAGGCCTGTTCGATGCTCTTAAGAGGGACCTTTTTTCAAGGCTATCAATGCACTCGATGTAAAATGGCAGCGCATAAAGAGTGTTTAGGCAGAGTGCCGGCATGTGGACGGATCTCAGATTTTTCTGCCACTGTGAGAAAAAATAAAACGCACAAGTCTCCTGCCCAGTCCAGCTTTGGTTTTCCTAAGATGGAGGTTTGTCAGGAGTATTACGGCTTGCCACCACCCCCGGTGGGCTTCGGACAGCCTCTTCAACTCTTGAGAGGTGACATCATCGAGCTGACCCGGGCTGATATTGACCTGACCTGGTGGGAGGGCAGAAACCTGACAGTTGGCCAGGTGGGATGGTTCCCCTGCCAGAGAGTCCAACCCTACATCTCTAGACCAGCCCCAGACCTGTCTGACTTCCTCTGGTTTGCGGGAAACATGGATCGCACCGCTGCCAAAAACCTGTTAATGTCGCGGTCTGATGGGACCTTCCTGGTACGGCAGAAGGATGCAGGAGAATTTGCAATCAGCATCAAGTTCAACATGGACATCAAACACATTAAGATCACCTGTATTGAGGGCCTGTATCGCATTAACGACAAAAAGGCCTTCAAGAGTTTGATCGAGATGATTGAGTTTTACCAGCAGAACTCTTTAAAGGAGTACTTCAGGGACGTGGACACCACGCTGCACACACCTTACAAACAACCAGAGCAAAGCAACTCCTCTAACAACACACCAAACACCACACCAGGGGGCAGCATAAAGAGCTTCGGTGTTGCGAGAGCCAGGTACGACTACTCAGCCAGGGACCGCACAGAGCTCTCACTGAGGGAGGGGGACACGATCAAGATCCTCTCCAAGAAGGGTCACAGCGGCTGGTGGAGAGGAGAAGTTTACGGACGGGTGGGGTTGTTTCCATCCAACTACGTGGATGAGGATTTCTCAGATTACTGCTGACGAGCTCCTACTCGTCAACTCAGTCTCTGTGTGAAAGGGCCTGAGTGCATTAAGGCATAAATGCATGCATGTGTGATTGTGTGTGTGTTGGACTGGTAGTGAATGCCCAGTGATGTGAATAAATCTTTATTCAGCTGAAAAAAAAAAAAAAAAAAAAAAAAAAAAGAGTGTGCTGCGCTCTAAAGGCTCCGTGTGAAACGCTGCAGCGCATTAGTTCCCGTCTCCGAGGCAGCGCGCGAAAAAAAAATCCGATCTCTTCAGCACAGGGGCCATAACAGGGGCCAGGGCCGGTTCTACAGGGGCCCAGGCCCCTGTGGGCCCCCGTTTAAAACCGCCATTGGGTTACACACACTGCTCTAGCTACATGTGGTCACTGGATTGAAAGCTTGTCAGTGGAGACATGCTCATTTGGTTTACCTGTACTGTTTGGAAAATCGTTAAAACAAATAAAAACATAATTTTTAAATAATGTTTGTGCGTCATTATGCAAAGGAACTTAGACCTTTCAATTTCTTGTTTTAAAATGTATTTAGTGATTAACTCATTCGCTGCCAGCCGTTTCCTGACTGGTAAAGCCCTTCGCTGCCAGCACTTCTCACCGTTTTTACTGGGTTTTTTAAGAGTCACAGAACGTTGCGCACTAGGATGATGTCGACACCAAAACAAAGAGGAGACTCACCTCTTACATCAGGAAGAATCAACGCGTTTTGAGCGTTATCTGTTCTTTCACAATCCGCTGTTGAATTGTGATCGGCAGAAGCTTTTCCGGTCTGCGCTTCACTTTTTTTACAGCAGCGGCCCAAAACGATCTCCTAACACATGGATTTTCTGCTTCCTGATCACGTGAAGTGTGACATATGCAGATGAAGGTCGGCTTTAGAGCTGAGATGTTCTCAAGGTGCGGGGGCTCGTTCCGATGCCCACACAGTAAAAAAATGCAAATGACGACTTTAGTTGTCATTGGCAGTGAATGAGTTAACTTTAAATGAAGATCTTTGTGGTAAACCTGTGGGACACAGAAGTGCACCGAGTTCTGAGAATCACCCTTTTACTCATTTTAGAAACATGCTTTTGACGTAAAGGGAGTGTGTTTGTGCACCTTTTGTAAAATCCTCAGAAATCCACACCACGCTGTGTCCTCACATTCAGCTAGCTGTTCAGCAAAACACAAAATGTGAATATGTGGTAGTCATATCTGAATGTATCTAAATGTGAAAATGCATTAAGGTGATTTAACTGAAACTGCATTAGTATTATTACAAAGGTGTCAGAAATACCAGATTCAGAAGAAGGCAGCTCTAGTATAACTGTATCTGTATGAATGGATCCACTTAAAATGATTTATAGAGCTAATTTGATGATGAAAAATAATGTTTTGCTATATTGATTCATTTTGTTAAACCAAAAGAATGAATCAACATTGAGTTGTTCATTGAAGTCATAATAGAAAGCATTTATACAAATTTCAATTATGCTTTTTTTTCTATTTTTTATTCATTTTAGGCAATAAGAGTTATAATATGATGCAAGACAATAATAATAATGATGATAATAATAATATAGCTTAAGCAATAAGCTCCAGCTTAATTCCTAATCTCATCCTAGAAGAAGTCCCAAGTAAACCAGTATTTTGGCAAAATCTTTTACTTCAGTTGTTTGTTTGTTTTTATTTCGGTTCGGTGCTTGATTGAGTAAGATAAAGGAACTAAGTGTACTCTACTAGTCAAAGAGTTCAAGGCTTTGTGTTGTTTGAAATAATCCTTTTATCTTGATTTTTCTGTTTGTGACGATCGCTCTCAGCTACCACACCAACTTTTAGCCTGATGTCTGTAAAGTCTCTTTAGTTTGCAGAAACTGATTCAATATCTTGGCCATCTTTAACTGGATTATCTCAAAGAGCGAGTCCTTACTAGATGGACATTGTTAAAAGCTTCTTTACGTTTCGTCTAGGCTCGTGGTGAACAAACACTTCAGTCAAATGGGCATAGACACATCATCAGCCACCTTCGGCCTACCAATGGCTGTTGATAATTAAACAGATTAACTGTGGTTAGAAATGAAAGCTGAGACTAAAAGATGCAGCTCCGACCCACGGGTTCTTCTGTCGGTCACTAATCTACGTCCATTAATAAATGATTCATCAAAGATGTTATTGATAGCTCTTCCTCTTCCTCCGCCAGGCGTACTGGAAAACCATGAACCAGATGCTGCAGAAGCTGAGCCAGAGATTGGCCCTGATGAGCAAGGGGGAAGAGAGCATCGTCAAGGTCTCCCTCAACGCTTCCTCCATCTCTGACAAGCTTGTGGCTTTCAAGACTAAACCTCCACCCATCCAGAAGGACATTCTCTCCATCTGCAACGACCCCTACACGCTGGCACAGCAGCTCACCCACGTGGAGCTGGTGAGTCCACGGGCGGGGGGGGGGGGGGGGGGGGGGGGGGGGCTCAGGGGTCAGACAGAGGTCGTGATAAGAGATGATAACAAGGATGCATGAGGAGGGATGTTTGAGGAGTGCTAATGCGCTAAGAATAATGAAGCATGAGTGGAGATTTAGTCCATGTCATGGTCCTTGGTTTTAAATAAAAGATGAAAGAACTACAGGAAGCTTTATCTGTGATTATAACTCTTCAGAAATCTGTGTCACCCGTGGTAATAAAAGAGAGAAAACAAAGCAGAGGGAGGACAAGGGTCTCCGCAGCGTCCCTACAGGCCCGTGCACGGTGCTTTTAGCCAGTTCATGTGTGTCAATCAGTGCACGTGTTCCGGGGGGGGGGGGGGAGTTCTGAGCACGGCTGAGTAAGGCTGTACCCTTGTCTGAGCAGTGACATCACCCCAGAAGTCAGCAGTGTGCCCGGGGCGGGAAACAAAGAGGATAAAACCGCTGAGGATTTATGTGACTTGACAGCTTCCTACTCTCACACACACACACACACACACACACACACACACACACACACACACACACACACACACACACACACACACACACAGACATATAAGAGAACAAAGGCAGAGATGGACAGGCATGCACAATTCACACATTGTTGATTTGTTTGTTGTCTTATTTGTAGATTTCAGCGACATGCCGTTGCTGGCTAACTAGCTAATTTAATGTCATGTTGTGCTCTGAGTGTGTGATGGGTCTACTGAGTCAGTTTGATTTACACATGCACGGGAGTTCACTGCTGTCTTTCAATGGAAGTAAATTTCTCCTCAAGTGTTTCTTTGTGGAAATATGACACCAGTGAGTCATAACTTCCTCTTATCGATTGGCTTCCATTACTGAAATGAAATAGTTAATAATGGTTGCAGCTCCATTGTGTGTGTGTGTGTGTGTGTGTGTGTGTGTGTGTGTGTGTGTGTGTGTGTGTGTGTGTGTGTGTGTGTGTGTGTGTGTGTGTGTGTGTGTGTGTGTGTGTGTGTGTGTGTGTGTGTGTGTGTGTGTGTGTTCGTGTTCACTTTCAGGACACATGTTGCAGCAGTGTAAGCAAATGTTAGGATGTAGATGTTTAAATGTTTGCATAAAGATTTGATACAGTGCTGAATGTAGGTCATTCGTTTCTCTGGTAACGTGATCCCAGACGAACATTTGTGTTTGTCTGTTTTTCAGGAACATTTAAGCCGTATTGGGCCAGAGGAGTTTGTCCAAGCCTTTGTTCAGAAAGACCCACTAGATGGAACACAGGTACAATTTAGTTTTCTGCTTATGTGAAACTATTAAACACCACTGAAATTGAAAGTTGAACTGGGATTTATCAAGTAGAAAGGCTCTAAGTAATCCCAGCGTTCTAGGGGAAAAGAAACATTTTAAACAACAACATATCGTGCAAATTTCCCTTTTGCATCCTTTTGTGCTGCCATGCTGTTCTCTACAGCCTCGGTAAACACTCTAAACATGAAAGAAAAACATCTGTGTGTTTTCGGTCCGTGTTTGGTTTTAAGAATTGTGTGCTCAAAAGAAACCGTTTTGAAAGGTCCCCATTTGTGACGTCACAAGTGGGTAGGACCGCCTCTCACATGTAAGAGGGAAGTGCTGCTGGAGGCCAGCCACTCTGAAGTTGCAAATATGAAATTCTGGGCGTTGGTGGTCTGAATGACATTTCATTAACCCTGTAAAGCAGGGCTATTCAAGTTTGGGCCATTATCCAGCACGTTTTAGTGGTTTCTCTGCTCCAGCACACTAGATTCTGTGGTTGAATCACCAGTGCAGTAGCTCATCAAGCTCTGCAGAAGCCTGTTATTCACCTGCTGATTGAAATCAGGTGTGCTGAAGCAGGGTTAAAACTAAAATGTGCTGGATACCGGCCCTTGAGGCCCGGAGTTGAATAGCCCTGCTGTAATGGGGTATTTTGGCAAATACAGGCCAAAGAAAATCATTTAACAATATGAAAAAGTTGCTAAGTGTGTCTTTAAAGTGACAGAGACCTTAAACGACTCAATCTGGGAGGTGCTGAAAATGTCGAGACCAAAACTGCTGAGATTGCTTCATGTTAGAGGGTTTTAGAGCAAAGACCTTCATAAACATGTTTGTATCGACCATAGAACTATTATAACTTCATTAAATTAAGACATCATTACATGTCCCCTTGTTGCTGTGCTTCTTGGTGACGAGGCAAATGGCTGACATTTGCTGCAGTTGTGGTTCTAAGATTTAGCACCTCAAAGTTTCTGCAAACAGTTATAGACCAGTTCTCAGATGGAGAGTGTGAGCAAGTGTTTGATCATTTCTGTTGAGCTTGTTTCATAAACATTTATGTGAAATTATGCCTCAGAAATTCTGTTAAGGCTTCAGTCAGAGCTGGCTCAAAGCTAATGTTAGAAATACAGCAACAAGAACCACTGACTCACACTGTAACGGGATTCAATTACTTTTATTGTTGTGCTAAATGGGGAACGCCCCGTTTACAGGCGAGTTTGAAAAGTAGGTGGCGTGGCTCTAAAAGTCTTATATCCACAAACACAACCATGGTGCTTAATTAATCTGCATCAAATAAATACGACTATGTGTGTTAGAGCAGCAGCAAAAAAAAAAACTCATTTATAAAATAATCAACTGTATTTTTCTTGGATTCAGCAGAAATAAACATATTTTAAACTGGAAATAGGATTAATCAGAATTTAGCTGCAGCCGAGTTGTAATATCTGTAATGAGAAATCTGTACTCATGAATAGCAAATGGGATGCCATTTGTCTCAGGCAGAATATTGTTGTGGATATTGAAATGTTATTTCTGACTAGATGGGTTGAAAAGAGGGAGATCGCCAGTTGGAGAACAAACAGAGCATGTGTTGATAGGGATGTAGGATGCAGCACACAAAAAAGATTCCTACGTGAAACTACCAATCAGGTGTGCTTACTCACTATCAGAGCCCTCTTATGTCTGAGATGACGTGAAGGTGTCAGAATGAGGGGAAACCTCAGATATGTCACACTTTTCATTTACCCTGTACTGTGGCAGTGCTTTCTCTGCTTACCTGCTGTTGTGTGTGTGTTTGAAATGCAGCCGTGTTTCAGTGATCAGAAGAAGAAAACCTCCAACCTGGAAGCATATGTCCGCTGGTTCAACAGACTGTGTTACCTGGTAGCAACGGAGATCTGCATGGTGAGTGAACAACGAAGGCCGTTCTCGCTGATAAAACACCCTCCTGCTCAGGACATGATACGCTTGACTCATGAAGAACAGAAAAGGGTTAAAGATCTACTTCAAGAACATTTTAGAGGATTCTTCTTGTCTTATTTGTGAGTCTGCTTATGCAGCTACAGAGCATCACTGCCCCCTTGTGGACAGAGTGGGTTACTACAGCTGCTCTGTCATTGCTTGCATCAGTGGAGAAAGAAGAATTCTCTTTAGATGAAGTTCAAACTTTAAAAAAAGATATATTTTTTTGTCTCCCTTTCACAGCCAGCCAAGAAGAAGCAGCGGGCTCAGGTCATAGAGTTCTTCATCGATGTGGCGAGGGAGTGTTTCAACATCGGAAACTTCAACTCCCTCATGGCCATCATCTGTAAGTCCTGATTCACGGATATGCTGCAGGTTTGTGACCACTCTGGTATGAGCAGCTAAAATCAGTCTGTTTTCCTGCAGCTGGGATGAATATGACTCCTGTGTCGCGACTGAAGAAGACTTGGAGCAAAGCCAAGACGGCCAAGTTCTTCATCCTAGAGGTAACCACAGTTCAACGAGTAACCTTATCACACACAGGGCAGGTGAAAACCCAAAGCTGATCAAGCGTTTGTGCTGTAATTGTTGTTCAGCACCAGATGGATCCTACAGGAAACTTCTACAACTATCGGACGGCCCTGAGGGGGGCCGCTCATCGCTCTCGGACTGCCAACAGCAACAGGGAAAAGGTGAGCATCACTGCTGGGAAGAAATATCAGCTCAGCTGGTTTGTTTACAAACCCTCACATGCTTTGTGTTCTCACCTCCTCAGATTGTGATTCCCTTCTTCAGCCTGCTGATCAAAGATATCTATTTCCTGAACGAAGGGTGTGCAAATCGCCTGCCCAATGGCCATGTCAACTTTGAGGTGCCTTTCCATCCAACTCTGCCTCTTTATTTAATGAAATTCAACCAAACTGAAAGTCTATTTGCTCTTTGTTTGTTGGTTTGTTTAGAAATTTGTGGAATTAGCACGACAAGTAGGAGAGTTCATGACTTGGAAGCAGGTGGAGTGTCCCTTTGAGGAGGATCAGGCCATCCTACACTACCTCCACACTGCTCCCATCTTCAGCGAGGATGGTGAGAACCACTTTCGTTTTGTCCGACATTACTCCTCTATAGATGGAAATCTCAGACCACTCACTGCTTTGCTCCAAACTACACTACCTGATAATACGGTGCTTGATATTGTTGGATCAGAGATGAAGATTCCCAGTTACCATGGTGATTTGTACTCGTTTCACCTAGACATGTATGCCATTTCTGTTTAATTAAGCATAGTAAGAGACAACTTACCAATCATAGTACAGTATGTTATTGAGATTCTTCTGTCAAGTCTCATAAATGGATTTTATTTTAATAAATAATCACAATATGGTCTTTTCTCTGCATCCATCCTATTTAGTGACCACTATTCCTGTTTAGCCCCCCCTCTGGCCATATATGCCCTCCCCTCGCTGGTCACATTACTATATTAGTTTCCAGTTTTGTAATTATTGTTTTCACATTCATTCCTGGTTAGCTTTCTTACTTACTCCAAGTTACAGAAATGTCCTGTCACCTTAAAATGTGTGTGGCACAAATGCCAACTTAGTATCTCATGTTTTCTCGTAACCAGAAAGGCTCTGTTACTTTTCTTCAGTAACTGCCCTGATACCTTCTCTGTGATACACTGTGCTAGTTTTACCGTTTGGTTTATGTTATTTCGGTCAGTCTGACTTTTTCATGCGGGCTGAACATGAAAATAGTCTCCTACACCTCTCCTGCTTTAGCTTCTGATAGAAAATTGACGGATTTGAGAATCCACACAGATCTTCCTCACACTTCCACTTAACATTCACGGACTCTCCCATCGTGACTCACGATGGGGAAGGCTGTTGTCGGTTTAACGTCCGCTAATTAGCCGCTAATTTAAGCTAACCATTAGCATTAGCAACTTCAACTCACGGCAGAAGCTCCTCCTGGTTTGAGTTATTTGTGGAGGTAAAACATCCACGTTTCAGGTCAGTGGTAGAGTCGCGTTGCTGGCGAGATGTCCAAACATCAGGTAATAAGACCACAAATCCTGCCGTCTGAAGCTCAGCTGTGATGTCGTAGCGTTGGTCCTGCTGAGGCAGAGGTTTGGGGCTTTTTTGTGCCCTGAGTACTGCCTGCAAGGTATTCACTTTGGCTACAAACCACTGCAAATATATTGATTAAACGAGTAATTCACACCACTAATACTTGATATTTTAACTCTGTTAGTTTTCTGGTTTTAGTATTCAATGTTGTATTGGCATTTTATTGTAATTCTGTTTGTTTTTGTCCGTGATGCACTTTGTGACTTCCGTCTGCGAAAAGTGCCTTATAAATAAACCTTTTCTTCTCTCCCCTCTGCAGGGCTTTACCTAGCTTCCTATGAAAGTGAGAGTCCAGAGAACCAGGTAGAGAAGGACAGGTGGAAAGCCCTCAGGTGAGGGACACTTATAAAAATGTATTTCAATCCAATAGAGAACATTTTCTTAGCTTTCCCCCTTTTGTTACTCTCAGGTCTAACGTCCTGGGGAAGACATGAGTCAATAATGGCGACAAGCAACCCTCCCACCTACATTTTGGAGCGCATGTTCTCATTGCACTAAACTGGACTGTGAAGGAGCCTAAAGCTGGTACTTAAGGTGTTTTTTAATGAACAAAATATGGGAAGAAAAAAAACTGATGAACAGGATTCATCAGCGTAAGTGTGAAACAACATATTTTAAGATATTCTGATAAGTGGAGCTAAATTGCAGGATGTTGGAGAGGGACACGGCTTCTCCATCCTCCTTCTCTTTATGTGTGTGTTTACTCTGGAGATGTTTACGACTTCACGACGTACGAGTTACAGGGAGAACCACTTTATCATGTCAAAGCCGTACTGACGCTGTCTCAATGTTTAATGTCTTTATCTCTCTCTGCCCTCTTCATTTACAACCTTGATTAGCAGAGGTGGAAAGAGTACTAAAAATTCCTACTTAAGTACGAGTACCAATACTTTGATAATTTTTTACTCAAGTACAAGTAAAAGTACTTGCCTAAATTTTTACTCCAGTAAAAGTAAAAAGTATCATAAACAACATGTACTCACAGTAAAAGTTACTTAGTTACATTTTTGTTAGTGTAAGGATGGCTACATCTAAGTAGTGCTAAATCACAACGGCAGTTCACAATTCGCTCGTGTATGCACACACACACACACACACACACACACACACACTGCAGCATGTTAGAATCATTTGAATGACTAATTCAACTACATTGAACTGCTTTAGTAATACTTTAATCTCTTATTCTGGAGTAAAATAAAGAAACAAGCTAAATCATCACATATCTGTGGCATCAAGAAGCATCTTCTGAGTTCAAACACAGGGATGGAGCACAATGTTTACACCTGAACAGTATCAGGATGTTTTAACTCACAGAAGCCTGCAGGTCTTCTGTTTTATGAGCAGAGCGCTGATAATCCGCTTGGTAGGAGCGCTAAACGTTATTTTGCTGCTTCCGTGCGGAGCGGTAGACAAACACGTTTCAAACACGGAACCGAGTCTGGTTACCGAAGCGAGCAGAATTCTGATGACGTCACACCGGTGCGCGAAGGTGCGGGTTCCAAGCCTCAGGAGAGGAGGGAGAGAGGATGTAAACAGCGAGTTGATCGACTGAACTGATGTTTTTGAGTAAAAGTGTACAACCCCCCCCCCCCCCCCCCCCCCCCCCGCACGCGATTTAGATGTGGTGCTCATGCAGGTGTCTCTTTCCGTTCCGACGCTGCTACACGTAATATTTTTCATTTATTAAGCCTACAATTTAATTTTATTCAGTAACGGATATGATTTAAAATGTAGCGAATTACAATTCTTTTTTAAAAACTTACTCAAGTAAAAGTAAAAGTACAGATTTTAAAAACGACTTAAAAAGTATGAATATACAAAACAGCTACTCAATTACAGTAACGTGAGTAAATGTAATTCGTTACTTTCCACCTCTGTTGATTAGGTAACTAACGAACGCCTAAAGCAGAAATCCAGTTTTTCACAGAAAAATGTATTACACCTTTAAGACCCTCTCCTTGTTTCTGGGATTTCTAGGGTAGATGACCTTTATGGATTTCTACCGTCGACATATAAATATTGGACAATGGGTTTCCATATGCTCCAATAATACGTTTTTGTGCTAAAATGGGAGGTGGCCACCACCGCCATTTTGACCGTGTCACAGGTTCCGTCAAGCCCAGACAATTCCACAAAAGGGAAGAGAGGTGGAGCTGAGGGTGGGGCTGTAAGGCTGGGATCAACTGACGACACCCGGTCGAACTAGCTACAAGCTAACCTGAAGCTAACCCAAAGCTAACGCGGAGGTGGGAGCTAAGCTAACGGAGGTAGCAACCTAGCTACAACTGGAGTTAACTGTGCACAACACCAGAGCTTCTGAGTCAGAGATACGCCGGGCTGACTGTTGGGTAAAACCGGGTGGAACACAGAGGTCTCCGAGAGCTCCACAAGCCGGCAGCCTCACAGCAGACAAGTGCCGCTGCAATCTGAGATGCGCAGAGCTGCCGCTTGGGAGAACTGGGTCTATTAGTGCAATTAATGCCACAGCAAGTCATTTTGTCCAACAATTGCACAAAAAAGAATACACAAACACAGAGACTGAAAATCCCAGAACAGTTTCCAAGCCAGACGAGGCTCTACTGAGGCCTTTCCACGGAGCTAGCTCTGCGGTCACGTGGGTCTGATGCTCATTAATTATACAGAATTTTAGGCTTTTAATACACTTAAACAGAAGAGTGAGAAAAAAATTCACCCCCCTCAGAGTTGTCATGAGTGTAAACTAGATCATTTAAACAAAAAACGTGTTTTGGTACCAGGCTGTAAACATGTTTATTTCTGCTGTGAAATTGGTATTTTTAACATGGGAGTCAATGAGGATTTGCTCGCTCCTGACACCAGCCCCCGCCTCCCGACTGGTTGGGCTGCGGCTAGGAAGGAATGGCGTGCGTGCGTGTGTAGTGGGCAAAACGGCTCTGCTTCTGCTACGGTCTGTCTAGATTTCAAGGCAAATATAATTCCTGAAGGGGAAAACTCCGGATTTCTGCTTTAAGTATTGTACCAGAACATCAGTGATATAAAAGAGTGCTGGTTAGCTCTTGCAATTGTCAAATTTCACAAATCAACGGAAGGAATGGCGTGCGTGCGTGTGTAGTGGGCGTTCATAAGCTCACCGTCCTTGTGTTGCATGAGAACATTTTTCATCTCTTCTTTTTTGTTTTCATTTATTTTGGGGGAAGACGGGTGGGATAATGACCTGTCTAAACGTGTTTACTCATGGTTTTAGGTGTTGTGCCGTTAGCGTAGGAAAACTAGCGTAATGTGTGGACAGCGGACGTTTGGCCAAGTGTAGATGGTGTACAGGTGACACGTACCCCTCATCTTTCTGCTCTGTCAGGAAGTTTTCCTCTGACTGATGTTCAGTTGTCTGATATATTATTTGGAGATCTCTGTGCAGACAGATGTAAAGTTTTTATCGTCACTTTCTTTTACATAATCTGAAGTCGTATGACAAGCTATGTCAGGTGTCTTTAAAGGGGCATAAGTGTATCCACCTTTAAGAGAACTAACTACTAAACTTTGCAGTGTTTTTTTTGTGTGAGTGTGTGTGTGTGTGTGTGTGCGTGCGTGCGTGCGTGCATGCGTGTGTGTGTGTGTGTGTGTGTGTGTGTGTGGAAGGAAATTTAGATTTCTGTCTTGCTCTGAAGTAAAGAAGGGAAACTTGTGCCATATGAGTCACTGTTTGTCATAACAAAATGTTTACTTGTTTTGTGGAGATTTTCTTGTGTTTAGCTGAGGGTGGGATGAGAGGAGTGGGAACTCTGTAATTATACGCTTCTTTAAAACATCCGGTTTGCCGTAATCGATTGATGTCCGTGTTTTCTCTTGAAGAACCATTCCCCTCTGTAACAGACTGGTTTTAACCCTCCAGCCTCATTCCTCATGAATTAACTTGCTTTAACTGTAACTCGTTCGTGGATAAGTTATTATTGACTGACAGAAATGTGATGTCAAACTTGCCATTCATGGTGAAATTGTGTTTTAATGAAAACTGTGCTGATAATTATGTATTCTCAATGACAATCACCTACATAGCATAGGTTTAGCTCTTTTCAACTGCTACCAGACTGCCAAATCCATCCTTATTTTTGTGTAACATACAAATCTATGTGCGGTATAAGTACTGGGATGTCTGGGCCATTACGAAACACCCTTGACTTTGACATCACTGCAGGATTTGTGACTGGTCTTTAATAAAATGTAACATGCCTAGTATTTTTGTCTACTTCTCATTTTCTTCAGTGTTCTGTTATTATTACCTTTGTTCATGTTTGGTTCTGAATTCGTAAAAACCTAGCTCAATTATCCGTTAATAGTACTATGAAGAAAAGGTACTGACGAGTTGACAGAGCCTTTAAAAAAAGTGACATAGTACAAGTCAGCTGTTAGAATAAGTTATTAACAACACATTTAAGCCACATTAATTAAACTTAAGAGATAAATTAATGAAATATTTCATTTATTTTATAAAAACAATTTCCCAGCACCTCCTTGTTTAATCTCTAAACATCTTCAGTGTTGTTTATTGGTGTTTTTTTTATTTGCATTAAAACAAAAATATTCAAAATTATGTTAATGGCATTGTTTTTCCTCTACTTCTATGTTAAATCTTTATGAATTCATTAAATGTATTTTAAAATACTTTGTAAGCCCTATACATTATTTCCATTTTTTTATTTGTTTATTGCAATATTAGGTTTTAGATCATCTAAAACATCTGAGGCTTTGTGGGAATGCTTTTCTTTGCTTCTAAATAAGACACATTGATTTTGTACAGGAACATAATTTTCCCCATGCCACTTAAATAAAGATCTGTATATATACATATATAAACTTATTTTTATATATATAATTATTTATATACGTAAAAATTATTTTTATGTATACATAATTATTTATATATATATATATATAATTGTTTATATATATATATAATTATTTCTCTCTATATATAATTATTTATTTATATATATAATTGTTTATATATATATATATATATATAAAATTATTTATTTTTATATATAATTGTTTATATATATATATATATATATATATATATATATATATATATATATATATATATATATATATATATATAATTGTTTATATATATATATATTGTAATGGCAAACGGAGTCACGCCTTCCATGTGTTCTAACATCTCAGCCACTGGCTTTGTTCCCCCCACAAATGTAGTCGATGCTGACACACCAGTTGATTTTATTTGCAGATAAATCATCTCAGGTAAAGTCACATTTACACCCGTTTAAAAGACTGGCGTTATTCTTGCATCTCTTCTTCCGCTCTGAAGGTGATCTGGGTCAGTTTTGAGTAGCTTTTGAAGTGCCTGGAGCCCAGGTAGGCCCCGAAGAAGGCCTGGATCAGAATAACTGGTCTCATTTTATTAAAAACCGGTTTGGAGACGTCCACACAAAAACGCAGCAGGTTTTCCTTCTCGGGAAGCAGGCACGTGCTGTACCTGACTGCCAGGCCGAAGTTCAGGGGTAAAGCCAAGACCATGGGGTAGAGTCCACCACCGACCACACCGACCAGTGCGCCTCGGATCAAGGAGCAGGAGGGACAGTCTAGGTCACCGGTGAGCAGCGGTGTGACCACGGTCGCCTGGTACAGAGCGCAGGTCGTCAGGAAGGGCAGCACGAACATCGGGAGGCTGGAGGCGATGCGCGCAGGTTGCACGTTCAGAGCCCTCCGGTACAGACTGTTAGCGATCAGGCCCCCAAACCCCGCGTTTCCTCCGACACACAAAGGTCCATACATAAACAGTTTCTGATCTGAGTCAGGAAGTTTCTCAAAATTCTTCATAAGCATCTCGGCTATCATCGCCCGTGTAAAGGTCTGAGAGCCGCTCTTCCCCTCGGTGTTTTCAGACATCTTCACAAGTTTAGTCTTAACGTGAAAAGTCCGCGAAAACTCAATTTAATTACATGTAGTTGGGCAGATGTCAGGCATCGTCGATGATCTCTGGGCAAAAAACGGGCGCAGACATGTTAAATACCCACAATTCAATGCGGTTGGTTCGTTAGCTGCTGCAGCAAAGAGTTACGCCCCAAGGAGTGTCGCGCGCACACAGACTGGAGCTGCCGTAGTAGCCAGCCGCCATTTTAGATGGGTCTGTCTATGGCTTACCCAACTAAAGAGATTTTATCAAGCTTTTTCACGAAATCAGACACAAGGTATTAGCCTGGCAAGCCAGACTAAATAAATGTATTATTCTTTACAAAGCAAGAATTTGGTCAAGTTCACTAGGCTAACAAGGTATGGCATTAAAACATAAATATAATTATACAAAATAAATATAAATAAAATCCAATGTAAAATTATATCAGGTAGGCTACTCCCACAGCAGTGACGGACTGGTAATCGGGAGAAACGGGAGATTTCCCATTGGCTGTGCAAGAACACGTTAATATAAAAATAAACAAACAATAATGAATCTAGCATTGAATATTCTTTATTTTTTATATTTATGTGTACTTACTCCTATACAAATACGAGGTTCGGACGGCTCCGCGCAGCAAAATCGCGTCATTTTAACAACCACGCCCCACCACCTGGCCTACGCATGGCCCAAACTTTCCGCACCGCGCACCTAGGAAATTTTCTAACACACGGACGGTCGAACACGGAAAAACATGGCAGACTGGCAAGAACTAGTTATGGCAGAGGTTCGTAAATACAGACATTTGTATGAAATAGCTCGCACTGTCGGAAAAGACAAGGATGCTGTTAAAATGTTAAAATGCTGGAAAAACATGAGGGACCGATATGTGAAGGCAAGGAAGGGGAACAAAGGGAAAAGCGGTGATCCTGGTGGAAACAAGAACACTCCACCAATTCTAAAAGAGCTGAGTTGGTGTAGTGTATGGTGTATGGTGTACACTATAGTGTAGTGTTGGATGCATGCCATAGAGCTCCATGCTGCCCCCTACAGTTTGGGAGAATATTGGCTCACCGCCATGGACGTAATTTTTGGGGGGGACGGGGGACATGTCCCCCCCCCCCCCCCCCCCCCCCCCACTGCTATATTAAATTGACACTGGTTGAGCTCAAGCCCCCACAATGCGGGTGAAAAATTGAGCGCAACCCGGAAGTGACTAAGATTGCAGATTCCACCCTCATCTGCTGGGGGCTGGTGTCAGAAGTGAGCAAATCCTCATTGACTCCCATGTTAAAAATACCAATTTCACAGCAGAAATAAACATGTTTACAGCCTGGTACCAAAACATGTTTTTGGTTTAAATGATCTAGTTTACACTCATGACAACTCTGAGTATAACTCTTCTGTTTAAGTGTATCAAAAGCCTAAAATTCTGTATAATTAATGAGCATCAGACCCACGTGACCACAGAGCTAGCTCCGTGGAAAGGCCTCAGTAGAGCCTCGGTCTGGCCTGGAAACTGTTCCGGGATTTTGAGTCTCTGTGTTTGTGCATTCTTTTTTTGGATATTTTTGTGCAATTGTTGGACAAAATGACTTGCTGTGGCATTAATTGTACTAATAGAGCGTCCAAGGAGTCTCCACTTCATTTTTTTCGGTAAGTAAAATTATACTTATGTATTTTAGGTCACTGCCGAGCTGAGCTTAGATTTTAACATGTACTGTTTAACCATGAAATTTAAATGTAATAGGGTAAAACCCAGTGCATTTCACATAATGCTGCACTTTAGAAAATGGGTTGAAATATAACATGTTGGTGGAGCTGGGTTCCGACTATCGGCTTGTGGAGCTCTCGGGAGACCTCTGTTTTCCACCTGGTTCTCCCCTCCCTGCAGCCCTGCGCATCTCAGATCGCAGCGGCGCTTGTCTGCTGTGCGGCTGCCAGCTTGTGGAGCTCTCGGGAGACCTCTGTGTTCCACCCGGTTTTACCCAGCGGTCAGCCCGGCGTATCTCTGACTCAGAAGCTCTGGTGTTGTGCACAGTTAACTCTGGTTGTAGCTAGGTTGCCACCTCCGTTAGCTTAGCTCCCACCTCCGCGTTAGCTTCTGGTTAGCTTGTAGCTAGTTCGACCGGGTGTCATCAGTTGATCCCAGCCTTACAGCCCCACCCTCAGCTCCACCTCTCTTCCCTTTTGTGGAATTGTCTGGGCTTGACGGAACCTGTGACACAGTCAAAATGGCGGTGATGGCCACCTCCCTTGTGGCCTCAAAAACGTGTTATTGGAGGCTACGGAAACCCATTGTCCAATATTTAGATGTCGATGATTGAGCTCTAGGGCCATGTGGAAAACAACCATTTGTGTTGAAGCCTGTTTCCCATTAGAGCACACTGTAAAGATACCCCCCCCCCCCCCCGTGTCCCCCCCCCCCCCAACTCTAAAGTGAAAATTACGCCCATGCTCACTGCAGAGACAAGCCGCATGAACCATAAACGCTGCAAGTTGTGATGCGCATTCTATCCACGAGCCGCATCCCCAAGCGGAAAGTAAATGCGTCAAGCATAAACCAAGCTTAACAGGGAGCTTAAATCACCTCCGCACCATGGGTCCCCAGAAGAATGAAAAAATGAATGCAAGTCAACGGGGCTAAAAACGTTATTTTCTAATCCGCTTTGCCTTACGCCCTGGATCGCACATATGTTGTACTGCAATCTAAATTAAAACTATTGATGGGTGTTTCGACCATGCCAGTCACGTACTTTGAGATTTATTAGTTCGTAATTAGCATGACTACAAACTAGAAATCGGCACGTCGCAACGTCACCACATAATCTCCTCTCCCCAAAGTAGCTGCTACTTACCAAATGACCAGATTTATGGTGGTTCTTTCCTCCTGTGGGAAGTTTGCTGAACTTACAGCCATTTTCCCTCGGTTTTCTCCGTGTCTGCTTCGATGACGTCACTTTTGTGAAGCGTATTTGTAGTCCTGGACTTAAGAACAAAAGCAATGAAAAAAACAAAGAAAACCACAACAAAGGGAAGTAGAGGATAGGTTAACCAACATCTATTCATATTTATCCATTAAAAGATTTTAGGTAACTTTTTTGTTTGGCTAATTATTTTTTTAATATGTATTTTTTTATATTTTTGTAAGCGGGGTTCTATTTTATCTTTATTTTATTGACATTTTTATAGTGTTTAAGCTTTAGTTTGTTTGTTTATGTTTTATATTTCAAATATTCTTATTCAGATTCTAAACATTTTATATTTGTTTCTTTTTTTAGTTTTGTTTTAAGCCCAAATTCTATTCCATTCAAATCAGTTTGTTTATATAACACCAACTCTAACTAAAAGTGCTAACATTATTAGGTGGAAAAAATTCAGTTGAGCCCGCTAAACAGTCTGTTGAGTTCAGTTCATTGTTCCAGTTAGGTCAAAGTTTTCTATCTTGGGAAACCCAGTAAACTGCAAGGAGTTACTGACTTTTTGTGTCAGTGACTTTACAGCAGTCCTCATACTAGGCAAGCATGTAGCGACGGTGGGGAGGAAAACTTCCCTTTAACAGGAAGAAACCTCCAGCAGAATCCGGCTCAGTATGAGCAGCCACATGTCTCGGCTGACTGGGGGTTTGAGAAGACAGAGCAGATACAGATTAGATAAAAAAAAGTACTTTCTATGTTAACTCATTCACTGCCAGCCGTTTCCTGATCGGTAAAGCCCTTCGCTGCCAGCGTTTCTCACCGTTTTTACTGTTTTTTTAAGAGTCACAGAACGTTGTGCGCTAGGATGATGTCGATGCCAAAACTACCAAAACAAAGAGGAGCCTCACCTCTTACATCAGGAAGAATCCGCGCATTTCGAGCATTATCCGTTCTTTCATAATTCGTTGTCGAATTGTGATCGGCAGAAGCTTTTCCAGTTCGTGCCTCACTTTTTTTAAAG